TGGTGGTGATGGTGGTGATGGTGGTGATGGTGATGGTGGTGATGGTGGTGACAACGAGGCAGCAATGAAGCTGAAGGTGACCATGAACTATGAGCAGCCTTTGTAATGCCCCATGCCCTGCTGTCCTCTAACCTGGCCTTTTGGGCCCCACAGCCCCCTTGCAAGCCCTCTACCTGGAAGTGTCCCCTGTCATTGGCGTCAACCAGGACGTGAACCTCACAGCTGTGCTGCTGCCCCTGAACGCCAACCTCACTGTCTTCTACTGGTGGATTGGTCACAGCCTGCAGGTGCGCTTGCCCGGCCCCTCCTGCCTTCCCAGGGGCTCCAGTCTGGGGCAGAGTCGGGCAGGCGCTTCCTAGGTGTCGGCAGCAGGGGCAGGGTAGGACCCACTCCCCAGCTGGGCCCTTCCAGACACCACCGGGAAGCCCCAGCCCTGGGCTTGTGCTCAGCCCAACTGCCCAGTGGACACAGCAAGGGGCGGGGCGGGGCCTCCCGATTTCTGGAAGAGAGATGGAACCCAGTGACCGACATGAGTCAGGGTGTGACAAGGGTCCCAGGAAGGCGCAGGCAAGGTATGCGACAGTGTCAGAGGCAGGGAGGCCATTTCCGGGGGTGGTCAGGCTTCACAGCAGAGAACGTCCCCAGGGTGGACAAGATCTTGAAGTCTCACTCTGGAAGTGACAGGAGCCAAGGATAGTTCTTAACGCCTGGAGAGGGGCAACACTGCCCGTGCTCAAGCTGGGCCTTGAGACCCCGCCGTCTAACACTCATTCAGCAAGCAGAGCCCCATGGCGGCTGGGCCCCCCCAGAGGGCTGGGAGCAGGGAGGGGCTGTGGGCCCGAGATGCAGCATCCAGTGGCTGCGTCCAGCCTGAGCCCCGCTCTGCCTGCAGCCCCTCCTCTCCCTGGACAACTCAGTGACCACGCGGTTTGCAGCCCCGGGGGACGTGCGCGTGACGGTGCAGGCGGCCTGTGGGAGCTCGGTGCTGCAGGACTCCAGGGTGGTCCGCGTGCTGGGTGAGTCCCCTGGCAGCCCTGGGTGGGAGAGCAGCCATGGCCACGGCCACTGTGTGGAGGGGGCAGAACCCCCTGGCCTCGGTTTCCCCAGCTGTAAACACCATGCCTCGTCTCCCACCTTGTGAGAGACACAGACATGGGTGAGGACCCTGAGGTCCTCAGCAGCGAGGGCCAGGCCTGGACCTGGCCTGGGTGCCCCCGTGGCCTGGTTGAGGATGGCCCTATCGTGCTGTAAAGCAGGGACTCCCGACACAGAGTGAGCGTGCCCGGCACGGCGTGTGTAAGGCAGGCTGCCCGGTGGACCCTGGAGGAGGCCACTGCCGGCCAGGCCTCCTCATGGCTGTGCCTGAGCTCAGTGGGGTCATTGCCACCCTCGCTCTAAGATGCTGGCTCAGTTCACAAAGCACTCAGCCCCGAGCCTCAGCCCTGCAGGGAGGGCTTCCTCCCACCTGGGGCTCGGAAGTCAGGAGACAGATGACGGCTTGCTGTGGGGATTCTGGGGATAGAGAGAGCTCTGAGCCGTGGGGCCTGGGGAGCACAGGACAGGATGAGCCCTTTGCTTCAAGGGACTCAGTCTGGTGGGGGCACCAGTCAGAGCCGAAGCGTCCCTCAGGAATGAGTGTATACACCCTTGGGAGGGCAGCAGGGCAATCACCCGGGACAGCTTACACCACACCAAGCCCCTCCCAGGCCTGTGTCATGGCTGTCGCCGTTGTCATCATCAGAGCAGCCAGAGTGTGGCCCTGCTGGAGCACCTGCACCAGGAGGCCCTTGCTTTTCAGAGACAGAAGCAGGACACTCTCTGGCCTGCCTCAGAAGGTCGGGGACAGTGGCCAGGCACGTGCCACCTCCCAGCCAGCATCACGTCCAGCTCTGACCGCTCCATGTCTGCTGTCCCCAGATCAGTTCCAGGTGGTACCTCTGTGCTTCTCCCGGGAGCTGGACGCCTTCAACCCCAACACGCCAGAATGGAGGGAGGACGTGGGCCTGGTGGTCAGCCGGCTGCTCTCCAAGGTGACCTGGGCAGGACGGGGCCGGCAGGGTCGGTGTCAGGCTGGGTGTGGCCTGGAGGGTGAGGGGTGGACTCGACTCGGAGGGGGGCACCACATGTGAGCGCTGTGCTTGGGGCTTACAGGAAGCGGAAGCTGCCATCCAGGTGGGCACGGGGCAGCCTGCGGGAGGGCGTCACAGGCTGAGGCCATCCTGACCATTCCTCCCCTCATTCTGTGAATAATGCTGGTAGAATTGTCCTGGGTGTTGAAGGGTAGTTAGGAGTTCGCCCAATGGCAGTGTGGAGGATTCCCGGGAGGCAGAGAGGCCGCAGCAGCACAGCCTCATGGGCTGTGGCTGAGCCAGGGGAGGCAGCAGGGCCATGCAGGGGCTGAGGGTAGGGGACAGGGGCAGGAGGCCGCACAGGGTGCCGTGGATTCCAGGCCACCCTGCAGCTGCAAGGGCCAGGAATGGGGACCCGACTTACACAGGAGGAGAGCAGGTGTCCCTGGGAGTCTGGGATGTGGCATGGGACAGGGACAAGAGTCCTCCTCTGCAGGAGACCAGTGTCCCTGAGGAGCTGCTGGTGACCGTGGTGAAACCGGGCCTGCCCACCATGGCCGACCTGTATGTGCTGCTGCCCCCTCCCAGGCCCACGAGGAAGAGGAGCCTCTCAAGTGACAAGGTATGTGCTATGGCCACCAGTCGCCCGGTCACCCTGGCTGGCCACAGGCTGGCCGCTGAGTGCCCAGTTGGGGTCACCTCCAAACGCATCTCGTAAAGGCTTCTCTCTTGCTGTGTCAGTCTGATGCACAGTGCTGCCCTGTGCCTGATGGCCCCACCTCTGGGGGTCATGTGGCTTCCTAGGTCACTGAGCAGAGGGGTGGCAGGGCTGGACCACTTCATCAGGGATGCTCTTGCTTTCTCTCCCATGTCATTGGCTGGAGCTGGTCACATGGCCTCAGCCTGGCTACAAGGGATGCTGGGAGATACAGGGGTCCAGGAGATACCTGGCAGCAGGGACTCCAGACAGCACAGCTCAAACCTCCACACGGATAGCAAGCATCTCATTACATAGGACAATTGCCGAGAGGAACCCTTGGCAGGGACAGAAGTCCTGCCACACGACGGGCGTGGAAGGGGACTCCAAGGTGAATCTAGTCCCTGTGTGCTCACAGCAGCCGCTAAAATCAAAACGCAGACAACCCAGTGTTGGTGAGGAGAGATCAGAACCTCGCCCTGGAGGTGAAGGCAGCCCGCGGCTCCTCAGAAGGTTAAACCCGGTGGGGGAGGCTTGCCTGGCGACTCCACCTCCAGTGTTTGCTCAAGAAGAGTGAGGTGCAAGGCCGCACAATGGCGACACCCACGGCCCACAATGCAAACTGCCCTCGTGGCCATGGCCGATGCAGGCCGAGTGGCCCTTCATGGGAGGAACAGGCGTCCTCCGGCCCTGAGAAATGACACCAGGTACATGAGCCAAAGCGGGCACCTCGGGAGCTGCAGCCGCGGCTCCGTGTAGCGATGCAGATCCAGACAGGAGTGGGTGGTGACCGTGGGCCTGGGAGAACGGGGTGACTGCTGGGGCCGGGGGTCCTTTGGAGGTGACGACATGCGGGGAGCTGACTGTAGTCCTGGCGCACATGACCTGGGCTGTGCAGAGGACACAGGGTGTGGGCCTGGCGTGAGCACAGCGGGCAGTGTGCAGGGACCGGGTGTCCCTCGTGGGTCCTGGTGACACTTGTGTGTAAGGACCCCGGACAGAGGAGCCAGCACCTCGGCAGAGAGCACGCAGACTCGCACACAGTGCGTGCCAGTCCCAAGTGTGGGTGTGGGGCGGGAGGAGTGGCAGGGGCCATGGGGAGAGCACAGGGGCCTGGGGAGCTCGGCGGCTGCGCCGTATGCAACATGGGAGAGAGGAACCAGGAGAGCAACCCATTCGGTGCCAACTACTGAAACAACAGACTGAGGGTAAACTTAGCCAAGGACCCAGAGTCCTGCGCCTGGAAGCTGTAAGCAACGCAGAAGAACAGGAAGACGTCACGGATCCATGGAGAGAGTCCTGGTGTTCGTGGGGTGAAAGCTTGGGCCACGCACAGCCATCTGCGGATTCGCTGAAGCCTTAGAAAGCATCCAGCAGCATCTTCATAGACCTAGAAAAAGAGTCCTGAGAGTCCCACGGAACCACAGAAGACCCAAAACAGCCAAAGCCGTCTTGAACGAAAGGAGCTGCTAGGCAGTGACGCCTTGGGTCCGAGCCCGGAGCACAGGCTGAGGAGGTGGGCACAGGCGGCCACAGGGCCGGAGGAGTCCTTTGCCAGGCAGACCTCCATCGGGGTGGGTGCCCAAGCCCGTCCGTAAAGCCTCAAACAGCTCAACAGCGGAGAACAGGCAGCCGGGTGCGGAGGTGGCGCGGGGCCCACACGGACACAGAAGAGACGGCCTGGGCCAGGGGGGCCCAAAAGGCTCGGTGCCTGCTCAACGGGGAAGTGTGAATCGAACAGCACCAGAGACGACCGACCGGAGGCTGGCAGGCGGAGGGGCAGCCTGTGCAGTGTGGGCCCCAAGCCCCAGGTCCAGGCCCCCCACTCACCCTGAGCAGGAACCGGCCTGGGGATCCTGAGAGCTTGTTCGGGCTGCACCTGACCCGCAGAAGCACAGTGGTGCTGTCCTCTTGAGGCGTCCCAGGCAGAGGAGGCTCTGGGGACAGCCAGCAACGGCAGCCCCACTGTCCCCACACCGCTCGCACTGTGCGGAGGGACGAGTCCACGGCGTCCCCAGCGATGGGCCTGTCCTGAACACCAGGTGCATCCCGGAGGGCGAGGGGGTGAGTGAGGCCTGGCCCTTCTCCCCAGAGGCCAGAGCTGGCAGGCTGGGCGGTCCTAGCTGTGCCTGTCGCAGACCCTGAGGGCTCTGCAGTTGTCTGGGAGGACCTAAAACACAGAACTGGGGTCAGCTGAGGTGGCCAGGGTTTGCCACGGTGCTGGGATCCTTGCTGCCACCTCTCAGGCCCACCCCCAGCCCCTCCCCGACCGTCCCATCTGCCCCACTGCGGCCTCCTCTTGCGCTTCTGTGCCTGCTGCGGGGCTGGGCCTTCCCCGGTGCCCGGTCCCATCTGCTCCTCTGTGGCCGAGGCAGGGCCACCTCCCTGTTCCTCTGGTTCCTAGTGACCGCTGGCCGGTGACTACAGCTCACAGGTGAGGTCCTGGGCCAACCTCCTCGTCCTCCGCTTTCAGAGGCTCACAGCAGTCCGGCAGGTGCTGAGCGCCCAGAAGATCAGCTTCCTCGTGCGGGGCGGGCTGCGCATCCTGGTGGCCCTGAGGGACACGGACACAGGTGAGTGGCTCCCTGCCCCATGCTGAGCCCCATAGGCCTGGCCTCCCTGTCCTCCGTGCTCACAGGTGGAGCTCCTGCCCCCATTCCGCTGGCTCAGGGTCCTCGTTCATTTATTGTTGCCCTCTTGGGACACACACGCCCCCTGGGAACGGGCAGCTCCCCAGGGCAATGGCTGTGTCCCCTGGCAGGACAGGGGCCGCACAGTGCTGCCTCCGCAGTGAGTCGCGGGCAGCGGCCAGGATCCTCGGGACCCGCACCCCCTAGCGGCCTCCGTTGTGCTGGAGGGGGACAGGCCGGTCCCAG